TTCAGATATTATCTGAAAATAATTAGTATTGAATTAAAAATTTTACATGTTAAAAAATACTAAACTAAAACAAAAATCAATAAAACAGTAAAAATCACTTTTAAACTTCTTTAAAAAAAAAATTCAAATATAAACATATTCAAAAAATATGTATTTTTTAAAATGGTGGAGTAAGATATGTTATCTTATACCTGGAAGACATAATATTTAGATCATTTATTACATAACTAATGATTCTAAGAGCCATTTGGGAATGATGATGAGTTAACTTTGTTCAATTAGAAGTCTGCATATTTAAGATAACAGAAAAGTAAAGAATAAAAATAAAATGTGATATTTACTTAAGATAAATTAAATTTATNAAAAAAATAGGCTGACACTTTAGCCGCTCGGCCTCCCGGACGTCATAAACAATGGGTTTACTATCATCAACGTGGCAATGGCGTTGAGAAAGAAAATGTTCCCAGACTTTCAGATTGGTTTTCTCGTATTAAAGAGCGAACGATCATTTTGAAACGTCAATATTTAAAAAAAAAATTTAATTTTTCTTAATTAGAAATTTAGGTTTCAAGCGTCCATTAAAATTTCGTACATCTGGCAAGGTTGAACTCAAAGGAAAATCTTAATGTTGGAGAGTGAACAATTAAAAAAATCGCCATACAAGCAAACTTGAGATTTTCAGTATTAGTTATAAATCCCTGATTGTGAAGACAATTGCATTAAAGGAGTTATGTTATCTCAAAAAGCGGAAAATTTCTAGCTTAGGCTGACGGGTTGGCAACTGCTTCTATAAGCAGATTCTCAGCTGAAAGATAGAGAATTGATAATTATGTACTGTACTGCACAATACAATACAATATATATATATATATATAAAACTGTATTTGATTTCCTTTAAAATTCTTTACCCTTGTGGCACGTGGATTACGCTAAGCTTGCGATAGGGATGACATGTGATGGATGGAGGTTCGACTTATCCGAGTTAAAGATCCATGAATATTTTTGAGCATTCGAATATAGATCCACCAGAGCGTCCCACATCTTTAGCTATTTCTCTGTCTGGGTCTTCACCGCGTATAGATTTGTTTAGTTGGGCTAATGTACATTTTCAGAACAGTTTGTCGTCTTTTTTTTTAGACATGCTCATTGTAAACTGAAGAGGTAATTATACTGTACACTATCTCAATCAAACAGACCTATGAATACATTATTGTTGTGTACAGTACACAAAAATTGCTTACCATTATTATAAAGGATTATTATTATTTTTTTTTTTTTGGATAATTTTGTACCATGATTTTCATATAAGCTGTTTATATGTTAATTATTTATATATTTTAAATATTTCCCAAATTGTAGGTTTTGTAAAATATTTTCCAAAATATATTAGCTTTGACTTCCTGTTGTGGATTCATAGTTACAATGTAACTTTTTTGATTAATCAATTACTTATAATTTGTTTTTCTTTTAACATTACATTTTCTTTGTTTAAGTATATTGGAATGAAATTAGTTTATTAATGGTTAATACTTTTTAATTTCATGGTAACTTATAAAGAATATATTGCACATTAACTAAAACTATTACAATAAAATTTCAAAAATGTCTTAAAATACCAATCCTTATGACAAAATATAATTGAATAAAAATTTGATTTTAAATTAATAAAATTTTAATTTTGATGAAAGTAATTAGAGAGTAAGATTTATATATTGCTATTAGAAACTGTTTATTCATTGGAATTTTTTTTTTGGTTGAAAAGGATCCACGACAACTGTCTGATTGCTGTTTCGTATTATTTCTTGTTGCTGGACTCCCCACTTTATCAACATTTCACCATGAGTCTCAAAAGCGAACACAACAAAACTAATTCTCTTATTCAAAACAGGTAAGTCATTTAAGTTCAGATATTATCTGAAAATAATTAGTATTGAATTAAAAATTTTACATGTTAAAAAATACTAAACTAAAACAAAAATCAATAAAACAGTAAAAATCACTTTTAAACTTCTTTAAAAAAAAAATTCAAATATAAACATATTCAAAAAATATGTATTTTTTAAAATGGTGGAGTAAGATATGTTATCTTATACCTGGAAGACATAATATTTAGATCATTTATTACATAACTAATGATTCTAAGAGCCATTTGGGAATGATGATGAGTTAACTTTGTTCAATTAGAAGTCTGCATATTTAAGATAACAGAAAAGTAAAGAATAAAAATAAAATGTGATATTTACTTAAGATAAATTAAATTTATGTTTCATTTTTATTTTGAAACAAGTTATTTTTGTTTTAAAACTTCACATTAATTATTATAAAATATTTAAAAACATTGACAACATTGTAACAATTAAAAATAATTTAATGTATTTTGATTGAATTTAATATTTCAATGTTAATTATATAAATTTAATCAAGATTTATAAATTTCAATAAAAATATTTTAACAATAAAATTGTTTCTAAGTTTAAAATAAATGAACATTGCACAATGTACAGTACAGTTTTAAAATTGATGAAATTTGGTTAAAAAAAATTAATGAAATTATATGAAATTGATATATAACTGAATTATTGTCATAATATTGCATTCATTAAATATTTGAAACTGAAATTATTTTCAATTTTAAATTTGATATTAAAATAATATTTATAAATTACTGAAATATGTATTGTAAGTATAAATCCAATTTTAGATTATCTAATGTTTTTAATAACATATAATATTAAAAAATCTTAACATATTTTATGCATGAATTATTAGGAAAAATTTTATTAAAATCATGTAGAATTTTAAAATAATTAAATACAATTTGAAGGTATTTATAATGATAAGTAATCTTTTATTTTTTTTCCATGAATAAATTTAGTATTTATATATGAATTTTAATATTTATAGCATTGAATAATTTACAGAATATAAAAGAGGATATATAAGTTTTTAAATATAAAATAAAATTTTCATATGATGATAGATTATCTCAAATTATCATTTTTTTAAATCTTTTTTTTTTATGCTGCATCTAAAATGTCTGCTTAATTAAGAATTCTATTAATAATTTTTCATGCCATTTATTACTGAGTTGACATTTGTCTGCATCAGTATTGGTTATTGGATAATGAATTGTTATTTTCTGCATATTTTTGTTATGCAAAATGGTTTATCATTTAAAATTTTTCATTCGTGATGCACTCTGGTTGGCTGAATAGCTTATGTGTCGGTTATTAGCTTTTGTCGTCTCGTCCAATCACTTGCCCTGGGTTATTCAATAGAGCCACCAGCTAAGATATCTTTCCAAGTAATGTTGTACAGTTCAGAGTAGATATCATGTTTTTACCAGCTGGTGGTGCAGTATCCAAACCGCATAGACCTCGTCGGGTGGGACGATATGGTTCACGTGATAAGGAAAGTACAATTTCCTCTCGTAACTCCTGTGGAAGTAATATTTCTCAGTCTTCAGGTTTGATTTCCAGCAATGATTACTTGGATGAAAGCTACTACGAGCTGTATATTTTACATAACAGAAACAAGAAAAAAAAAGTCAAGTAGGTATTAACAATGTTCCTAAAATCATCAGTTTCCGTCATTGCGGGTGACTGTTAATTATTTTATTTTTTTACTGCTAATTATTATTATTTCATACCCCAAATTAGGAATTAAATTTTTAAATATATAAAATTATTGTCAAGATTGTTATTTTCAATATGTTTTACCAATAACATTAAATATTTAATACATATTCATTATAAAACTTTCCTTTTTTTGTTCATATTTTAATCAAATAAAATTTTTATTAAATAAACTTACCCTAAACAAATCTTTTTAATAATAGATGTGATATTTTTGTTAAATCAAACAATTAATAGAATATTCTAATATTAGCAAATTGAATAATTATAGCAACCAAGAATTTGTAGAGTGAATGACAACAGAAACAGTACTTAGTAATGTTGCAGTTTCTTTTTGATTGTGCAAATTTTTAGCATTTTCTTTCTATATTTTTGTATAGTGCAAGATAAATGTTTATATTATTTTTTCCCTCCTAAAATTGTAAAACCTGCATGAATATATTTAGTTGAAACAAACCAAATGTGCAGCAATCTGTAATTGGGTCTTAGAAAAATTTTCCCTTTGTTACAATTTCCAATTGATTATAGTGCATCGTAGTGATTATTGTCTTGTGATATTTATTTAATAGATATTAAAAATTCATAAATTGTTTTGTTAGTTTATTTTCCTCTTTGCTGTGTTGTAGGTGAATAGGGTTCATTTATTTAAATATATAGTAATAGATACATTGAATTGCATGTACCGGTACAATAATGTAAATGCTTATATTTATTATTAGATAAATAAATTGAAGATAGTTTAACCATATTAATTTTTAAGTTGTTTTTTTATTATTTAAAAATTAATAGAAATACATACTCTGTCTTATAAAAAAATAATATTATATAAAAATGGTATTATGTAATAATATTAATTATGTATTAAATTTTTTTATTGCTGTCACTATCAATAGTATTAACAGGTAGGCTATATATTTATATTATATTAAATTTCTGAAAATGTTTAATATTTATTAATATTTATATTTTGATATCTTATATAAGATTTTTTAATTGTATACAATATCTCTTTCTTGCTTTTATATAAAGATATAATTTAAAAAAATATTTTCTATTTGTCTTATTTATAATGCAGTAGTCTATATATGTAAAAATATATAATATTCAACATAGCTTGCAGGCCTATGTGCAGGCATTATAAGAGAAATTAGATTTTAAAAAATAGAAGTTCTACATTAAATATTTTTAATATTTTATTGTAAATATATTTGATTAGTATTTTCATATTTGCAATGAAATATGAAAACACTAATAAAAAATTTCTATTCTCCAACTATCATTTTTTGAAACATATATGTATAATGAATATGAAGTTAAATACCAAGAATAAATAATTTTAATTATATCACAGGTAAAGGAATACTCAAATGATGATTATTTATTATATATTTCAATTATTATTAACATTTTATGTAATTAAAATCAGTGGCAGAACAACTTTACTTCATATGATGACATTATTTATTTGTATTTTTATTTTTAATTTTATTATTTTTACTTATATACTCAGTTTTTCATTAATAAGTTACTGTATATACTTTTTCAAATATATATTTATGTATACATAATTACAATAACTTTACTTCAGGCTATGAGATTTAAATGTAGCCTCTTTTTCTTTCCTACCCCATCTCCTGTCACAAAGGATAGTTTATCCCAAAAAAAGCCTTTAACCCTTGATTGAAAGAAGAATCAGAACAATTGTTTTGATTGTAGGTTGTAGGCTTATTGCTAGATATACTTGAACCCTTGTTTCCAGGCCATGATACAGCTGAATCACTTAATGCCATTGTAGTTCTGCCACTGATTAAAAATTATTTATAATAGTAAACCAGTGTTTGTATCAGAAAAAAATTTTAGGTAGTTAACCTGCTTTGTTAGCTGGTTGCTATTGTAAAACTTCCTTATGCACATGACAACAAAACAACATTCATATTATAACACTCATTTGTATACTAATCCATATTCTGGTTATCCTTAAAAAATAACAATCATAAATAAATAAAAATATTTTTAACTAGTTGGGAGAAATATATAACTGGCCAGTTGACCTGATAAAAACCCATTTTGATGGGAAAACTATAAATCTTTTAAAGTTAGAAAATGACAGAAAATTTAAATCTAAAAGAGAGTCTTTTAAAAGAATAGCAAAATAGATTTTCATGTATTAGTATAAAAACTAATATTATTCATGAAAATAAACTTTTTATTGCAATTCAATATTATTGAATTTTATATAATGTTTGATTTCTTACCATAATACTCTAGCATAATTAAATTTTATTTTATTTTCATAAAAACATAATTTTAAAAAAAGATATGGAATAGAAATAGACATAAAAATTTACAACAAATGAATAAAAATACATTATAATTTTAATTAATACTCAAAAGTTTAAAGATATATTTTGATATTAATTATTTTAATTGATTTAAAAATCATTATTAAAAATATAACCATAGTCTGTTCTAAATTTTACATTTGTATTTATCTTAAAATTTTTTTGTAAGAAAAACTATAATTTGTTTTTCTCTCTTGCACACTTTTATCTTTAAAAATATTCTAAACTGACTTCTTAAAATTAAGTTCAAAAGTGCCAGGAATGGGTTAAAAAATCAAAACATGTTGGGTTATAAAGAAGTTTGTAATATTTTTCAAAATAAATTACTCCAAACTTCAATACACTTTATCCAATGATTTCTCTAATTCCTGAAACATTTAGAAAAATCAGCTTGTTTCAGGGATTACAAAGTTGATTCAATTCATTATGTTTTGTTACATGCTCTTCCATGAGTTTTATTTATATTCCATTTTCCTTTTAAAGTGGGAACTGCTAGTCTTCCATAATTATTCTATTACCATAATCTATCTTTTAATGACTTTTTGTTGAAAAAACTTAAAAAGGAAAACTGTTTGAGTTAATAGAACTTGTACAAGATGAAATCTCTATTTTGTATTTTGTGGAAAATCAATTTTATATATACTTTGGTTTTTTTTATGAGTAATTACCACAGAAATTTTTATTGCTTTATCTACTCATAGTCTTAACTTAAATTTAAAATGTCATGGAATTTATGAAATGAATAGAGGAGAAATATAGTATAAATTAAATGTATTTAAATAAATCAAATACTTTCAGTTTGTTTAGATCATGAATTATATTATAACTCTAATATGAATATATTATAACTCTAACACATTCCTTTTAAAATTGAATTTTATAACTATGGCATATTTATATGTATTGATTTTGTACATTTTAATAAAGTAATTTGAATGCCATATAAATTAATGAAAAAAATTACTTTTTGCATTTTTTTTCCAATTAAGTTATATATCTAAATATGATATAGTAGAAACTTATTTTATTTATTTTGAAATTTGCCTATACTGATAATAACTGAACGGTAACATTAAAATTTTTGTTGTGCAGTGATAAGGAAATTGCAGAGAATAGATCCAAAATATAAGGAATGGTGTTTCTATATTTCAAATTGCAGGTATACCTTGCCTTACGTCGGTAATTGGTTCCAGGAGAGGTGACGTAAATCGAATTTACTTGTCTCCGAATCTACTTGTCATTAGACTAAACCATAAATTACCATTTCCGGTTCTGTATTTTATTTATTAATGCATTTTTAATAATATATGGTTAATAAAAATCTATTTTAAGCTTACAAACAAATAAATTTTAGTTTTTAATATAGTACAGAAAAAGTGATCTAAATTTACGAATTTACTGTACTGTAAATACAGTACATACTTGTAAATGTATATATTTTAATATGATTTTATGTGCTTTAAATGCTTTTCTACTGATATTACGACTTCAATATTTGTGGCGGACAGATGTAAAGTCAAATAAAATGACTTAAACTTGATTTTTATTTTTCCATATACTTTTTTGACAAATGATGTATAATTGGGAACAACGTAACTTGAAACGACATAAGTCGAGGTATACCTGTACTATTCTGTTGCATTGCACTTATTCAAATATTGATATGTAATTTCATAATGTTTGAAATCACTTTGTTTTTTACTGTAATTGAAAATAAAAAAAATAATTGAATTTTTATGGGAAACTTTCAAAATACAGTATTTTAAAATATTTTGTACATCAAAAGTAAAACAGTTGTGGTGTGTAGAGGACAAACAATAAATTACAAAGTTGTACCGATTAAAAAAAAAGGATTTATTTTTACTTTTCTTTCACGTGGCCCTACGTACACGCGGTTCTTTAGGATCCCAAACTATGTAGTTCATATATATCCAATACAGCCCGATATATCCTTTATATTAACAAAGGCGGGTGACACGTGTTTGCGACAAACAAAAGGCTTTGAGATATATCTCTGTAATACTGTATTATGATTAACTTAAACAATCTTAACCTAACTTATATACTAAAGAAGAAGTGTGAAAGAGAAGAAATATGAAGGGATAAGAAAAGTATAAGAGAAAGGTTGGTGTGGTACCTGGGTATTTCGAAAGTCTCCGATCTCCTTGACGTTGGAACTTGCGCTCAATTTGCCTTCCTCTCAGTTCCTTTTGTACCAGTTCTTAAAAACTCAAGGTGTTCTCAAAGCCCTCAATCTTAGCATCAGTCCAGTTTGTTCGTTCTCAGCCAACCTCAAGTCTGCTTTTTGTCCCACTCTGCGACAACTTCAACCTGTCCTTTTCTTCATACCTGATTATGCACTTGCAACATCAGGTCATGTAACCTTGTTACATTAATAAATCTAAATGAATGAATGAATGAATGTCCTTTTCTTCGTCTGCTCTCCTCAGACGCTGCCCAGAAAATGCCCCTTTCTCTTTCCCTGACGCCCTCCTGGCTTTTTTGTTTTCCTTTGTTTCCTCTTTTTGTTCTTGGACAAAGGTTGCCCCCACCCGTAGAGAAAGAATAAATGAGAAAGTTCTAGAAACAGAGACGTGAAAGACAAAGGATTTAGATTAATATAAAACTTATATTTAACCCCTATGTACATAGGCATGGCGTACCGCCACACAGTATTGAACTTGTTATAAAAGGTGAGTTGCTAGTTATGTATGTTATTTTTATATGTTTTGGTTTGTACAATTTAGATATAACCATTATATATATATCCTTTGTCCTAAATTAAATATATATATACACACCATGCTGGGGTAAAGTGATGGCTGGCTGAGTGCCTTGGTGATTATAGGCCATGGACACTGAAGTTGTCCCTAGTTGGCACTGTTTTTTTTATTATATTGTTAGACTGTAAACTGTGTATGCTATTATTGGTTTATTCTCCTGACACAGTTAAATGTTTCAGTTTCAGTGTTGTTTTGTTGCCATTTTTTGTTCTATCATCACACTGTCAGAAATTTACAAATAACACAATCTTTCATCTGTATGTCATCCATGTTAGCTAATTTTTATGGCATCAAAGGTGTTTTTTCTGTATACATATGATATTGAGGATATTATATATGATGATATGTCATCTTTCAAAGGAAATATCATAGAAAAAAGAGAAGAAGAAACAGATACTGAACAGGAGCAAGAAGATAAGGAGCAACTGGAGGAGGAAAAAGAAATAACTTACACTTCAAAACAAAGTGAGAAGTCTTTTTATGGTGGTCACCATTTGACCACTGGCATTGCAAGGACAAGAAAAGAAAATATTACTCATCTCTACCTGGTCCTGTTGGTGAAGTCAGAAACATGAAATCTATAATGCAATGTTGAAATTTATTCATAAAGAAGAAATTTTATGAAGTGCAGTGCAATATACAAACAAGCAAATTAAAAAAGTCCAACAAATTACATTAGAGAAAGGGATGCCAATTTAACAGATTTGATTGAAATAAAATCATTAATAGAAATTCTGTATTTAGCTGGTTTTAAAAAATCTTAACAGATGCCATATA